CTTCGCAAGAACGGCGTAACTCCTAAGAACCGAAAGCCTATCTTGCAAAGGTTAGCTTTTCCAGGTATCCCTTACCATGGCGTGCAATAGACAGTTGAAAATTTCGTAGAAGACTTCGATTTCTTCATTTCCATAATGAATCACTCTCATTTCTGACACCAGGAAAACACTCTTCATTAATTTGCTGCTGTTGAAAACTTGATGTTACTCAGTACCGCCCAGTCCTTTATCCACTTGCTACAGTGGGAGGGTGGCAGAGAACGGCGTTTGGTTACCGTCTCGTAGCAATGCCACACCGCCTGATATTAAATCAGATTGGTAAAATTTCGGCTTGTCGTTGCCACTTATGGTTTGTGGTGCATATCAGGGTCGCGGATCAATCTCGGCGTGTGCTTCAGGCGCTGCGATTTCTTCTCGGAGTTCTTGATTGATTTTTTCTTGTGAGTTGTCTTTAATGCTTCGCCAGCCTATCATGATTGTCAAAACGACTAAAGGAATACCTATGAGTGCGATCACAGCGACAAGGATACCTATAAGCCATGCGACAGGTGTTTTCAAACTGTCTACCTGTTGCGTCATGTGTGCTTTCATACGATCTTCCGACGCTTGGATCTTTGCATCAATTTTCTCAATGTCCTCGACGGTCAACTCACCAAGAGCTGGCAGCACTATTACACAAAAGAGTATCGAGAGGGCGAGTATCGTTTTCATGAGGGTTCCAGTTCCAGTTTGATTTATCCCCCTGCAAAGGTGGGAGGGTGGCAGACATGCCTTGCGGCACGCTTTGCAGTGCCACCCTAAACTGGATTAAAATAGTGTAGCAGATTGGCGGAATTTAGGCAAGTCGCTTTTGATTCGACAGCACTATCGCGCACCAACGAGCCGGAGCAGCCAGTTCCGTGATTTTGGTTTATCGTCTACTGGGGGCATCAATTCGCGCTTTTCTTCTTTCTCCGCAGACAAGGGATCGAGGAGTTTCGACTTCTCGTCAATGAGTGCCGTTTCACGTTCATTAGGACTTACGCAAATTGAGCAAATATCGGACATGTAGACGCAAAAAGTGGGAATTTCCGTCCTTTAAACACCCTAAATCCCCCTTATCAGGGGGACTTTAAGAGGAAATGTGTAAGTTCTACAAACTATTATAATGTCTAAACTATCTACAGTGCAATACCCTCCAGTTCAGCACCACACTTCGGACAGGTATCCTTCCATGCCAAACGCTTAACATCGCCGCAAATATCGCAGACACCAAGCGGGTATTCATCGGGTTTCGCACGGCTGCCGCCTCTTTTGTAGGTGATGATGAGCCACACCGTTTTGCCATCTTCTTCGTAATTGTAAAACGGACCTTCCTTTTTGCCATCGTAGGATTTGCCTACATGCTTTGGATAGGCTCCGCTGGATCTGAGGTTGCCATTTTCATGATAGGTGATGCAAGCACCTTCGTACTTTCCATCGCGGAAGGAGGCTTCGCCTGCCTTGTTGCCGTTCTTGTGGTAATTGATCCAAGGCCCCTCTTTCTTGCCATAGATATATTGACCTTCGCTCCGCTTAAAACCGTTCGCGTAATAGGTAACCCAATACCCATGCTTCTTGCCGTCAACCATTTCGCCAGTTGTTAATGAATTCGCCATAATTTCACCAATAGAAGTGTACTTCAGCCCCCGACTGCCTTGAGAATCCACCTACAATGCTGTATCAAGATACGCCTCAAATTTCTCTAAAGTTTTCTTGCCGATGCCACTGAAACCCTTGAGTTTCCCTTCATCAATTGCTGTCCGAAGTGAAGCGAGACTATCCACACCGACCTCTTCGTAGAGCCGCTTAATCGTCTTCGCACCGAGTCCAGGTATAGGGACAAGCTCAGCAATTGTGCGTGGCGTATCGCCAACGCACTCTTCCAATTTCGCACTCGTGCCGGTTTCCAGAAATTCGGTAATAATAGTCGAAACTATGCCGCCAACCCCTCCAATTTCTTCTATCAACCGCCCTTGAGCGACTAAATCCGACATCGGTTCTGGAAAACGAGAGATAGAATGTGCCAAACGGGGATATCGCGATGCGTGATCCTCTGGGTAACCTGAAATAATCAAAAATGTATGAAGTTCCAAGAGTCTTAGCGCGATTTCATCGTTTTCATGCCAACGCGTACGCTCTTTTTCATCAATATAAGACCCCTCTTCTAAATTTTTCTCACCGTTCACTATTCTTTCCCCCAATGTAGAATCTGAATTGTAGCATCCCACAGCGCAACAGCGAGATATTCACCGTTCGGTGAGAATGCTAACGCTTGAATGCGGTCGGATAGGTTTCCCAAATCGCCGATTCACCGTCGGAGAGGTCCCACACCCGCAGATTACCCGCTTCATCACCCGAAGCGAGATAATCTGAAGTTGGCGAAAAAGCGAGTGCACGTGTCCAATACGCTTCAAAGCCACTTTTCGCAAGGCGTTGCCTTCCCGTCCCAACTTCCCAGACACGGATTCCGGATTGATAATTCTTCTGTGTGTCAACGGCTACCATTGATGCATCCGGTGAAAACAGCACGTTCCAGACACCTAAAATCTCGCCAGTATTGAGAATTTGAATCGGGTCTGCATCAATTGTGTTCCAAATTTCAATGACTGTCCGATGCCCCTCACCGTCTCGGTAACTCCCCTCTGCTGCAGCGATAAGTTGACCGTTATCAGAAAGCGTAAGACCGTTCCTAACAGGGAATCTGTCAGAAGCGTTTTCAACTTTTGGGCAGATCCCTGACTTTTCACAGCCCCTGGACTTTGCTTAGCGAGTTGCCATATCTCAACTTCGTTATCACCTTTTGACAGCACTGCAAGCGTGCCATCCCAGACAGACTCCCGCTTTCATACTGCCCGTTTGTCAGTAGTGTTTCATCACCACTTCCTACCGAGAGAATGGCGATGTTGTCATTTGCTTTTCGGACTAACAGTTGATTCGCGCCAGTGGAATAGGCGAACCACTCGCTTAGCGTGGATGTTGCCGATCTCTCGTCTTTGTCGCTCTGGATATCCCACTCTACTACAGCACCACCCATCCGTTTTGTTATCAACTTCGTGCTATGCTTGTTAAATGCTATCTGTCGCGCGACATCAGGGAGCAGTTTGTCGAGTTGAGGTGGCTGCTTCTCGCCAAGTTGAAAAGCAAACTCCAAAGTCGCTCCTTGCACCGACAAGCATAACAAATTAAACAGAAGAAAAACAAGTAAATTTTTCATGTGATAAAAAAGAGTAGGGCTGAGGCACAAAGACCTCGCCCTACTATACCGGTAGATTCCGCTATTCATAAAGTTCCGTCGCGGTTTCACCCCGCGCGAAACCGTTTGCAGTTTGTACGGCGGAATCGTTTCCTGCATTTCTGCGGATATCCGTTGCCCATCGTGCCAACCCAACTATCAACTGGTTTCTGGCAGGATGCGTCTCACACCTTTTCCACTCCTCAGACACTATGTTAATCGAACTGAGGAGATTATCACCTCTATCATCCTTGAGGATACATAACCCCATTTCAGCCATTAACCGCTCCGCTGAGCATCCTGCATTAAGATACTCGCGGGTACGTCGCCCAATTTCTTGATACGGACAGATTCAATCGCATCTATAATTTCGGAGAGTGCCTTGTCCTCATCAACGGCTTTAGGCGTTGCAGATGTCCTTAACTCTGTGAGCGGTTGATGGCGAATGTTAAGCCATCGGTTGTTGAAGAATCGCCATGCGGCATGGTAGAGTGCCTTCGCAGCAACTTTGGTGCCGCCGTACCGAAGCACCTTTCTCACGGTTGACCCCAATTCCATCTCCTCCTGTAAATCCCACCAACCCGGACTCATATTCACAGGCGTTCTTGCCATCCTATCACCCGCAGCCACGACCATAGTCGTTGCGAGCGTGTTAATCGGGACACCGGCGGTGAGCATTTCCGTCACAGCATCAAATACCTCATCAAGATCTCCACTCACGAGAGCCGCTGAGAATTTATCTTCGTCATAATCAACGGAACTCTCGGTTGATGTCTCCTGTGGAAGTTCATCAAAAATATGATCAATTTCTTCCAGTTTTTGGATAGCTTCACGGTGAAGTTCACCCGGTCTACCACGTCCTTGCCCAAGAATTTTTGCACCGAGGCTGCAGACTAATTCTCCAGTGAGCTCCCATCCAAATTGTTCCTGCAATTCTGCCAAGTGTGAAAGATAGATGAAGTTGTTAGTATGGCTGAGGAAGAAGGATTCAGCTGCAGACGCAAAGAAAAGCGGAATGATTTTCTCATCATGTCCCCCCAAATCTCTCGCGGTGATAAGACACTTTTCGATGCCTTCCCACTCTTTATCAGCGGTGAACACTCGAATCCAGTTTTCAAGTTTTTCCCAGTCAACAGGCGGTGGTAGCGGTTGGCGATCCGGTCGATCGCCGAGCGTACCCGCTGCGCCTGTTGCAGACATCATCAACGGAATGAGACGGTCCTCCGGTTCATACATGTGCGCCACCTTAAGTCCGTTCATCATCATTGCCAGACTTCTACCACCATCGTCCGCATCCTCACTCGTAGAAATATGTCGCACCATGTGCCTAACCATTATCTCTAACGTCTCGTCTTCGGAAACACCTTTTGCTAACATAATGGCAATAGCTTTAGAAAGCGTCCAGCTGTCATGGGATAGTAAGCCCTCTTTTAATAGAAGGAAATGGGCATCGTCGCGTTTCTTTCCACCACTGCCGACATCTATATAGATATCACCATTGCGAACTTCAACGGGAAACGTGGCGAGATCATCACAACCCCCTGTGAAGCATCCGCCGCCTTCCATGTCGTAGCTCCAACCGTGCCAATCGCACGATAAAACACCCTTTCTGACGCGCCCTCTTATGAGTGGATATCCCATGTGGGGGCACTGGTTATCCGTGGCGTAGACAGCACCTTCATGCTCAAAGAGGGCAATGCTATGTCCTTCAACTCTGACTGCCCTCGGTTTTCCATCTACTACATCGCTGCGGGCAGCAACTTTGACGAAATTGGTATTCTCTGCTAACACTGTATTTATCTCCTATTATATCCTCGTAGGACTTACGCAAACGCCATTTGGTAAGAAATCGGACGCTTCGGATTCTGCAAGCGAAATCGTGAAAAGAGAGGTCGCCGAGGCACGGGGACCTCGGCGAACAGACGCTTACTGCGTAAGTCCTATCCTCGGTTAGAAGTATTCGATCTTACCCAAAATTAGATTATAGTAAAGCCTACAATTAAATGGACACTCAGGAATTGGCGAGGTTAGGAAACCTCGCCAGCGACGGTGAAGTATCAACCCCTATTGTGTTCAGATGTTTTTGGGTTTTACTATAACTGCAGCGTTGGGCTGCTAACTCTGTCAGAAACGTTGCGACTGATTTTCGCTTCGCTTTCTTGGCATAATCAAGCGGGGTCTGTCCGGCATTATCACGTGCGTTTAGATCGCCGCCGTATTCAATCAGCAATTGGACTTGGTTTTTACCGACACCCTTCTGTGCAATGAAGTGTAGCGGTGTTTGCCCTTTATCATCGGTTACATTCGGGTCAGCACCGTTTGCCAATAAACAAGCGATACCGTTCGTCAAACCACGTTGTGCAACCCAATGTAGGGGTGTCCACATACCACGCCGATGCTTTTGAGAAGCATTGATATCCCGACCTTTGGCAAGAAACCCTTTCACCAATGTATCAAACCGCTTAGGTCCCTGCCCAACAAGCACATACCAATCTCGCAGGTTGATCTCATAACCTGCGTCAATCAGCAGATCAATTATTGCTGGCTGCTTGAGACTGGAGTGCTATCTCAAGCAGCGGCATGGTGGGTCCAATCTGATAAACATAGACATGTCCACCCGGAACGCCGTCTATTTGGTCATCGTTAACCTTTGGTGATTTAGGCGATGGAATAATATAGCCTTCGGATGCTCTCATATTTATCCTAAGATTTAGTAACTCAGGATTCTTTTCAAATTCCGCCTTTGCTCGTTCAACGTCGCCTATCACGCAATAGAGGACAACATCCGCTTCAGCACCTTGTTCAAGGAGATAGCGACACACTTCAGGTCGTCTTCTCATCGTCCATTGCGCTGCAGTGCCATAATGGTCTCGGTCGCGTAGGTTTATGTCGGCACCGTGTGCGAGCAGTAGTTCAGCGATTCGGGGTGTCGCTGCAAAATGAAGCGGCGACATGCCATCACATCCGGGTGCGTTCACAACATCCGAATTTTCACGAATCAACGCCTCAAGCGTTTCTGCCATATCCAAACCAGCGGCGGCATGTGCGTCAATCGTCGCGCCGCGTTCAATGAGATACTCAGCTAATTCTCTATTGTATCCGAGCATTGCGCCCTGCTGCGTGCTGCAGTGCTGAAGTTTCACCTGCCCACCAAGAACTCTTGACATCAATGTTTGCGCCAGCATCAAGGAGCACTTCTACGAGCGGACGATTCACCATTGAAGCGGCAAACACAATAGCAGGCGCATCAAAGGCGAACCAAGGCTCATCAATAAAGCTCGATAAGTTCATCATTATCTGTTAACACGGATTTGACCCGGTTCGCGTCCCCTTTATTCACAGCTCAATAATTCTGCACGTGGCGAGTACCACCGTTTTGGTCCATAAGAACTACTCCTCAAAGACCTCAATCGTTGTTCTCCCTTCGGCGAAACGCATGGCGGTCGTCGCTGCAGATTTGTTATCCGTGTTCGATCGGATATCTGTAACATAGCGAGCCAATCCCACCAACAGTTGATACTGTGCGGGGTGACCTTCCGCTCGCTTCCATTCTTCAAACACAGTACGCAGTGTCGGCAGGACTTCACTTCCCGTATCGTCCCAGAGCACTGTATGCCCAATCTCTTCGATCAACCGTTCACCGCAATAACCAGCGTTTAGATAGCCAAGTACCTGTGTTCCGACCTTTTGAACATCGAGCGTCTCAATTGTCGCAATAATCTGCTTGATACCCTCTGCCTCATTCGCGACATCCAGTTTTTCTTCAGGCAAGGGTTCGCTGAGAGGTCGCGAGGGAATATTTATCCAGCGATCTGCGAAGATTTGCCACGCTACGTGGAAAACCCCTTTCGCAGCGACCATGTTGCCACCAATCTGTTGCGTACTCCGCAAAGATGCAGCAAGGTTGAGTTCCGTTGTTAAGTTCTCCCAACCCGCATCCACGTTCACCGGCGTACTCGCCATTCTATCTGCAGCGAGAAGCACAAGCGTGGTAATGAGCCGCTCTAACTTAACACCATCAACCAAAACTGCTTGCACCGCCTCAAATGATCGTTGAAGATTGACACTCGTGAGTGCTTCGACAAAATCATCTTCGTCAAATTTAACGGTTCGCTCTAAGGCAGCACCTTCAACAGTAGGGAGCATCTCTCTCATAAATTGGATTGCGTCTCTACGGTACCGTTCTGGGTCATCTGGACGATGTCCGACGAGTTGTGCCCCAAGATAGAAAAACAGTTCCGAGGCATGTTCCCACCCAAATTCATCAACGACTTCAGCGAGATAACTAACATAGAGCGGAATATGCGGTGCGTCAATAAAATGAGGTTCAACTGCGCATTCAAAGAGGAGCGCGGACAACTTATCTGCGTCACCCTTGTGATATGCTTGTTGAGACAAGCAGCGTTCGATCGTCGACTGCCCTTCACCTAAGAGAGAATTACGAACCATCGACCGTATCTTCTCATGCACAACAGGCTCAGGCAACGGCACAACCTCAAGCCGTTCTGAAGCGGGGCCTGCAGCGGAACAAGCCGCAGTTGTAACCGCGATAAGTCTATCAGCACCATTGTATCTCCGTCCCACCTTAAGCCCATTGATGAGTTTAGAAACATCGCTCCCACCTTCTGCCTCGTGGAAGGTCGCAATGTGCCGACTGACGTGTTCCAGAATTGAACCCATAACTTCTCTCTTCGCGGCACACACCGCCATTTAGTACGAGCGCATCGCCTTGGCGTCGTCCATCGCGTCTCGCTAAATTAAAGACCTCTCGGAGCATTGTTTATGTTTCTTCAGTCGGCGCCGGTAGGTCAATCTCCCGGTTCTATCGATGCCAATCTCGCTACCGCGACATCACAGGAAAGTACGCAGTCTTCGCATTCAACGTGGAAGCAGCGCACCACCTTCCAATCGACGCTGCTACGGTGCCATCACATGTCAGGATGCAAACGTTCGGACCGCGTCCCGCGTGTTAGATAGCCCATGTGCGACACTGGTATCCGTTGCGTATACCTTCCGTCACGGTGAAAAGCGCGATGCTACGTCGCCCGTTCTCTCTCAATCGCTTTCGGTTGTCCTTCAGGTACCTCACTTAACTCGGCGACTTTCACCCAGTTTTGTGTCTGATGTCCCATAATCTTGCGTTCCTCCTATATTGCGTGCGTTTCGATCATCAAAACTTAACTACTACAAAGTATTATACCACCATAAACTTAATATGTCAATAGTAAATAAATAATAATTAAAAATAAATTAGTATTTGAAAAGCGTATTTTTGAGTGGCACTTTCCATTGAAATACACGAAAAAAATTGGACAAGTGTTACAAAATATTCTGTCGAAATTCGATATTTTTTGTGTCTAATTTGTATATCCTGTGAGGAAATTTCCAACTGATTTTTTCTTTCTGTAACGTGAATTTGGTAAAAACGAGACTTCGTGCTTCTACGAAAATATCCGCATATTTTTAGAATTGGTTTCCATATATCAAACTCACGTTTTTACAATGATTATGGTGTTCATAATGGTAATGTCTGTATCATTTCCGCAATTCTTAGAAACAGGATTTGCCGATTGGAGAGATATTGCGGACAGCCCCATCCGGATTCGTAGGCGCAGGATCGTTCACGAGTCGCTGGCTGGTGCTGCGCACTGGTGCAACCGCTCCTGCTTGGGTTCCAGCAGTTGGATTTTGCGGCACAGTAGTCGGTTTAGTAGGCGCAGGCATATCCCTATGCGTGTGTTCTATAGAACGGGATGATGACCCGTGTTCTACATGTGGCGATTCCGGTGTAGCGCCTTCGGGTTGGTAGAGTTCACTCGTGGAAACGAACAAGTCATAGTAGTGGTGCAGACTATGGCGGCAATTATTATGGTGACCCTTATGGAGGATATGGATCTCCTAACTATCATTAGACATTTGGTCTTCAATTCTTATGATGAATACATGAGTTTCTCTCATGATCATCAGTACAACACGAATGGGAATACAAAAGACGTGGGTGCCACAGTGCCTTGTGACACCCATGTCCTTTGTCGTATTGAACACCAACCCTTTCCACAGGAGCCGGAAGTGCCTGCCAATCGTCTCAAAACCATAGTGATAGCCTGTGTTCTTTTTTCTCTCATGGCCGTCTTGCTGTTCAAGATACAGACGCAGATGATGAATTCTGCGGATGCTGTTTCCAAGAATCAGATCAAGCAACGCCCGACTGAAATTCAGCACAATGTTGTCGCACCACGCGTCCCTGCTCGCCCACTGGACACCAATTCGGACGTTCAGACATCCGCCTTCTACCGCACCATCATTGACAACAATCTATTCCGACCGCTGGGGTGGCGACCACCACGCCCACAAGAACCCTATCGCCTCATCGGAACGATTATCCGCACAGATGAGAAAACAGGTGCGCAAGCCATCCTTCAAGCGACCACCGGGTACAAGATATACACTGTTACCCGTGGTGGTACACTCGACGCAGACACCACTGTCGTTGACATCCAAGCCAAACAGGTAACCCTCAAAAAAGCAGGACAGCAGAGAACTCTGAGACTCAATCCCTCCCCTTGGCTAAAATAAAAAGAGACACAAGATTGCCTGACTTTGACGAAAAACACTTCATTGAACGTACACAACAAGACGATATCGAAGCCTTTAACCCGCTGGTGCGAAAATATCACCTCAAGATCTATACCCACATCTTGGGGCGCGTTAAAGACACCGAGACGGCAGAGGACTTGACACAAGAGGCGTGGATAAAAGCGTTTCGTGCGATCAACACCTTCCGCGGGGAGGCTTCATTTTACAGCTGGCTCTATCGCATCGCTGAGAATGTCTGTATTGACTACCAACGAAAACAGAAGGCATCACACGCCACTGAACCCATTCACGACATCGACGAACGTCGCATCAGAGAGACACATCGCTGTCCGAGTCAAGACATTGAGCGGCTGGAACTCCGAGAGCACCTTCGGAGGCCTGTCGAGCGCCTGACACCGACACGCAAACGCGTCTTTCTTCTATATTAACGTCAGTTTGAAAAAAGTATTAGAAACCAAGACATAGGCAAATTCAAGAAAAAACGCAATATATTCACCCAAAAGGAGCGATTTTCTACTGATTTAACCCCCTAAATCCCCCTTATCAGGGGGACTTTAAGAGGAAATGCGTCTGCTCTAAATATTTATCAAACTCACGTATATTATAT